GAGAGCAACTGCAGCACCTGGCTCTAAAATCTGCGGCCGCCTCGCTCTCGTGTGTTAGATCCGGGGGGTTCTCTGGCCCGATACGGGGCTACCTACTGACTCAGCTCTCTATTAAAAGATTGGCGAGCTGGTGTTCTGTCGAGGAAACTCGCCTGGCTTCTGCTAACTACCGTTACTCCTGACGTCTACCCTGCTTCCTCTGGTAACGTGCACTCGGCCGAGGGGCCACCCTGGCCGAGCGCTTCTACCTAGTCGCGTCAGTTATGGCAGCTTTCCTCTTTTGGATCCGGGCTCTTGGTAAATTGCCAGGTTAGATTTTAACGGCTAGGATTATAACTAAAACCGTAAGGGACTGTTAAGTGGACCGGTCACTAGGATAACCATTAAGAACTCTTGTTGTTAACATACAATAGATTTAACTTTTTACTGCCATGAGGAACTTCTACTACCTCAGCAAATGAATGCTCTTGAGAATTTTACTTTAAATGCAGATTAGATATTTATTGCAGGTTATATTTAGCATGGGCACAGCTACAGCTCTTCATAATATAATACGATACTTAATTCAATCAGGTTACAATTTCTTTTCAGGTTATACTCATTAATTGTCGATGCCGAGGCGGCTCGGTGGAGCTGGATTCACGATGTGATAAAAAAGTCCTTTGTGGGGTTTTCAGGAGCTGAAGGTCCGGCCGAACCTTCGGCTCCTCCTGCGAGGCCAACGAAGTCCGTTCAGCGATCCCTCAGACTCAGTACAAAGTCTTTAGGGCAGCTGCGTCCATCTGTTGTCCGGTTGTTAAAGTCAAACAGGGGGGAGAGGAAAATCTCCGTCTTTCAATCTTTGTCCTGGAATCGGCTGTCTTCTTTCCGTGAACAGAGACGAAGTCCTCCGATGCGGTTTGTTGAGCGCGGTCCAGTGTCTTCTCCGTGGAGCACTTGGGTGGCTCCCGCGTTGAATCCCGTCTTGCTATCTGCAAGTCTCTCTTTTTATAACACTTTGAGCTCCCTCTCCTCCCTCCTCCCCAACACTCCCTCACTCGGCATGTGATTAACATGACATCATTGATTATGTGTGTGTGCTGCGAACAACACCCAACTTTCTGTGTGTGTGTGTGTGTTCTGGAAACTACCTAACTTCCCTGTGTGGGTGCTCTCACTTCCTCAATGATCTGAGCATGTCAGGTTACACCCGTGTATGTGCTCGGACAACACTCCAACATCTGTTATGATCTCAGCCTTTAAGGCCCCCACCCTGCTTACATCAGCTCTTTCCACACACACACAGACTTCACTTTACTCAGATACACATACATTATTATTATCAGTTTTACATTTGTTAAATCACTTCATAATTCTACGTACTACACACTTGCATTAATATGATTATTAGATTTCATCCTTTAACTATAAGTATACGCTTTATGTCCCCTTAGCCTGATTCACATACCGAACATGTATTCCTTCATTTAAGGCAGCCTTTAAGGCAATCCTACTTCTTAAAGGGACCGCACACAATGGATGGAGAATGGACCTGACAGTGTCAACGTTACATCGTTCAGTACGATAATTTGAAGGGCGAGAAAACATACAAACCAGAACGCACGCACATATGTAGCATGTTAGAGTTATAAATAACTTGTCCATGTGAGAAACAATAGTTTAATTTAATGACATCACTAAAATAAAAAAAAACCAGCTCTGATGAAGGTGACCCAGCTCTACTCTTCATCACTATGATGCTGTAACTCGGAGGTGATGAAGGTGACCCAGCTCTACTCTTCATCACTATGATGCTG